TAGAAGAGGGAAATTTAGTATACCAACCACTGCACGATTGGAAATGAACAAAGAGTAGTTTTCTAACACCCTATAGCCTCTCAAAAATAAATACAGACGTCTCCGTACCGATCCGCAAGACTCTGTTAGGTTTGACCATGACTTGTGAGACCTACGTGAACCTAGTGCTCTAATACCATGTTGTCACGACCCAATTTCACCTCAGGTCATGATGGCGCCCAACACCGTTGTCAGGCAAGCCAACGCGGAAATATAAGTGAATTCTTGTTTACTTTACAAAAATAGTTACAACAATTTCTTAACTTGAATTTAAATCATGTGATAATTAGCAACGTACAATAATAGTTATACAACCCAAAAGAATAGTCTACTAATGTGTGTGCTAAGACCTGGTGTCACAAGTATGTGGGCAGCTAGTAGAATATACAAAAAAGAATAATACTATCCTACTGTTTGAAATAGAGTAGACAATCAAAAGTAAAGGAAAGACTCTATCGGGCTGCTGAACGGCATAGGAAGGGAGCAGCTCACCGTGGAATCTCGGCCGGATCAAGGGTATGCACCAGTCTGGTAACCAGATGTACCTGCCTCAGATCCTGTACAATTAAGTACAGAAGTGTAGTATGAGTACATAAACAATATGTACCCAGTAAGTATCCTGTCTAATCTCGAAGAAGTAGAGACGAGAGGTCGACTTGACACTTACTAGGGTCAAATAATATGATAAGTGATATACTAAGCATGGATAGCACAAATGATTAACAATTTACAGCATGAGGCAATAAGTCCTTTCCTAGATAATATCACAGTTAGACATTTACATTTCAGGGCATATAACAAAGTTCCGATCACAGCAATATACCAAGCTATAAGCATACGCAAGTAGTGCAGAGGTCGTACGGCCCGATCCAACATAAAAATAAAGTGTGCACTGCCGGAGGGTCGAACGGCACGAACCATAGATGCATCTATTACCCCGCTCGCGAATCATACGTGTGACCCGGTCAAATGTATTTAAACACAACAACAGGCAGACAAGATTATATATCAGGAGAGCAATTACTCACGAAAATATCAACTTCTCTTTAAAAGGGCCAAGAAAATGATGTTCCTCTTATTAGATTCATTTACCACATTCAACATGATTTAAGCAATCCCAAATTAATCAAAAAGTTACGAGAACTTCACATAAAGCATGCTTTTGGGTCCTAAACTACCCGAAATAGTGGGTAGGCACGGACTCTCGTCACCTAGTACATACGTACCCCGCATTTAGTGGCAGATTATTCAATTATTACACCTATGGGGACAATTCCCTCTTACAAGGTTAGATAGGAGACTCACCTCGCTCCAACGCGTACTTCCAATATCAAGAACGTGCTCAAACCCTCAATTTGGAGCCGCACGATGCGAAACTAGTTAAATGAAGTAGGAACTAGTCAATACAAGCTCAAGAGTATGCATTTTAATTACTAAAGTAATTTCCCAACCTTAAATATAAGTTTCCTAAAATTCGACCCCGGGCCCACGTGCCCGGATCCCGAAACTTTTCGAAGGAAGTTGTTCTCTATAACCTAAGGATCAATAATATATGATTACTACTTCATTTCTTAACCAATTCCGTGGTAAAATCTAAGTTTTATCAAAACCCTATGTTTTGCTCTAATCCCTTGATTTTTCCTAATCTTTGTGTGTTAATCTATCCAAAACTCAAGCATTAAACTTAGAAATAAGGGGGATAAACTTACCTCAAGATGCTAGGTGGAAATCTTCTCTCAAGAGCTCCAAAATCGCCCAATAAACGAGTGCAAAATGGGCAAATATGGCTGGACCCTGTATTAAATGAAGCTCACTGCTTCAGCGATTTCTACATCTGCGGTCCTGGGCCGCACCTGCGCCCACCACTTCTGCGGAAAAGAGCCCGCTTCTGCGGAATCTCAACTGGGCCGCTGAGCAGCATCTGCGAGATGCAAGCCGCTTTTGCGGCTCCACTTCTGCGAAAAAACAGCCGCTTCTGCGGCTTTGGGCCTGGCCTGGCTTGGCCGCATCTGCGAGAGGTTGACCGCTTCTGCGGTCTCGCACCTGCGGCTGACCAACCGCAGATACGGTTATGACAGATAGCTGGAGCTTCAGCCCTTCCCAAAATTTCCAACTTCACTCGAGCCTCGCCCGATTGACGCTCGGGGCCCCCGAGCCCCGCCCAAACATACCGACAAGTTTGAAATCATGAAACGGACTCGCTTGAACCCTCGAAACACCCGAAACAACCCTAAATCTAAGAATCACCCCCTAAAACCAATTGAATCAAACTTATGAACTTCAAGTTCTTAAATTCACTTCTAACGTGCCGAAACGTACTTAAACTACTCAAATTGACACCAAATTTTGTGGGTAAGTCTTAAATGTTAAATTGGACCTGTACCGGGCTCCGGAACTAACATACAGGCCCGATACCGATATGATCGAGCATTACTCAGTTTCATTAAATCCTTAGAATTTCTAGTTTAACAATTTCTAACAAAAATTCATTTCTCGGGCTAGGGACCTCGGAATTCGATTCCGGGCATACGCGCAGGTCCCATATTTTCCTACGGACCCTCCGGGACCGTCAAAACACAAGTCCGGGTCCGTTTTCTAGAAATGTTGACCAAAGTCAAACTTAGCCTTTTAAGAAAATCTTAGGGAATCAGTGTGCTTATTATAACTAGAACTCTTCCGAATCCCGAACCAACTTTCCCCGCAGGTCGTAAATTAGTTAAGGCAAGTGCGGAAAGTCTTAGGGGGACGGGATTCTAACAAGAGAAATGACCAGTCGGATCGTTACAGTAAGCTTCCACATTACAATAATATATGTCAAATGGCGCCTATGTGGCATCATGACATGGCGGGTTATCACACAAAGCTATAATCTCTTTTTCCTTTTTCTTCAATGAATTTTAAATTTTCAACATAATAAGTTATAATAACGTCAATTCCTGGGAGATACAATCTCAAAGCCAATGTAGTTAAATCATTCTACGAGAAATTAAGAACCTAGAGATCTCCGTTTTAAAAGGCAGAATTGGGACTCGCCCGGGGCTCGTCCTGGGACGGAGCACTCGTAAAACGCCCATGGGCTTATGCGTGGGGCTTAATTCCGTGAGACTTATGCCTCGTCCATCGGGGCTTACGCCCTGGACACGCCCAACGCCCAATGTACTGGGTTCGCCTAATAGAACTTTATGCAATTGTGTGTAATTAACCTTTTAAATCCTCAAATTTTCTTAATAAATCGTTGATTATTCAAATTACTTTTTTGAGTATTTTATATTATAATTAAAATAAAATTATTGCACGTTATCCCCTAAGATTGTTGTGATAGTAAATTTTAAATAAATCTTTCATTTAAAAGTATTTATTTGTTAACTTTTGTTATGTCTTTATTATAAAATAGTCCATAAAAATTTTATAATTTTTTTCCTAAATATTATTTTTATCACGTTTACGAGATACAATACTTATTAATTTAATAGCTCAGTATTATCTAGTAACTATTTACAAATAATTAGTTATCATGGTATGGTATGGTGAATTATGTGTCACTTTATTAACTTGTTAAAACTTAAAAATAAATTATGCTAGAGAATCATATATAAATTGTGAATTATATTTTTATATAAATTCTCTTTTAAATAGAAAGCATATTAAATAAAATGAGTATTTTATAAAATAAAAAAATCAAATTATAATATTGAAAGTCTCCTTAAGAGATACATACGAGATTTCGCATCGAATACATTACTTTTGATGTTTGAGTTGTAACGACATTGCAGCTAATTTGCATATTATTATATATGTCATACTTTTCGTATTATTCATAGTTGAATTATAATTTATAAATATTTTAAATAGATTATGTGTTTAAATTTTGTAATTTTAATATAATTTTTATAATTATTTTTTATTTTATTGTACTATCTTACAATTATTGAAATTAGTAAAATTTAAAGATCCATAAGACTTACGTCTAGGGGTGTGCATTCGATTTTGACCCTTATCGTTAATTACTTATCGATTATCGATTTGTACATATGCTTATCGTTATCGTTTCAATAAGGTTTCGATTTATCGATTTTTGGGGCTTATCGATTCGGTTATCGATTACACCAATAAGAAAATTTATGGGATTCCACGGAAATAATATCGCTGTAAACACGCCTAACTAATATGGACAAAAAGAAGCTAAAATAAGATGAACACCGTTTATAACATAAAATTTGTGTCAACAAGCACATGCCACGAAACTAAAGTAAGGGGTCCAATGTATGCCACCAACACTCCAACGGTATTAAAAAAATAAAAAAACAAAATACATCATCACGGCTAATTTTGTTTTCCATTAATTTGAACTTCATTCCCTTGAGCTTTAAATATGATCATTCCTTAAATGTGGTAGAGGAAGTAATAGGGTTAGGGACTTATGGTAAAGGAAAGGGTATTATAGAATAAGGGTAAAAAAAAAAAATAGTAGTATATCTTATCGGTTTATCGATAAACCGATAACCGAAGAGGACAAAATCAAAATCGAAATCGAAACCGATAACTCGATAAGGAAAATTTGGAAATCAAAATCGATAAACCGATAACAAATAATCGATTTGATTTATCGATAAACCGATTCGAATGCACACCCCTACTTACGTTCTATGTCTCAGGGTTTACGCCTCAGCCGTAAAGACGCCCCGCGTTCTAAAACGTCGCTGGAGATAGTTTCCGTTGGTTATTTGTTGGATCCGAGCTAATTATCCTGGACAAGTGGTCATCACAATATTACATTATGACTCATACAGGGTTACTATACTGACATTCATCCAAGGTACTAATTTTAAAATTTTATCAACAAAGAATTGTTGATAAAGCTTAACAATGCAAGAAAACAGTAGGGAGTAATACATTTCTCTTGATTTGCTAAAATGAACAAATAAAAAAAATATTTTAAGTATTTATGCAGCAAAGATTTAATGCTAATTGTAGATCAAATTGTCAAAGCATTTATTGTTCAGCTACCTCAAATCTAATGCAGAAGGCGGGATTTGAAAAGACAAAAAGAAAGAAAGAAAGAAACGAAGAGGATTCCGAAAGTATGGCTTCAGAAGGCAAAGATGACGGCCTTAACAGTAGCAGTAGTTTGAGAAATACTCCATCACCGAAGAAACAAAATGTGACAGTCACCGGAGTTGAAGAAACCCTAGACGACCGTATCAGTGAGTTGCCGGACACCCCTCCTAGTTCAAATTCTCTCTCTCCTGCCGACTGAGGATGCAGTCGCAACATGTATTCTCTCGAAAAGGTAGCAGTATCTCTGGACTTCAGTTTATAACTTCATTCTCACTCGTAAAAATAACTTTGTGCCCTTTGTTGATTATGTGTTAGCTCATTCCGTTTCTACCAAAATTCAAAATTTCGAACTCGATTGCACTTACCTCTTTCCACCATACGAGTCGCATATCTGGCGGTGGCTTAATTTTGCTGTTGAAAAAAAAGTGGAAAATGTTGTACTCTGGGACGATATATTTACTCATTATCTCACTTTCCCTGAATCTTTCTGCACCTGTTCGTCGTTGATAACTTTGGAGATTAGATCTCGTGTATTTAGTTTTAACATGGTCATATCGTGGAAGTCTCTAAAGAGCATAAAGCTGGAGAAATTTTTTGATAAGCGATAATGGAATTGTGAATTTACTGTCAGTCTGTCCTGCATTGGAAACCATGGAACTTTGTCTTATGCACCAATTTGTTCACCTGGATATTAGTTCTTTGAAATTGAAGAGACTGTATTTGAAACATCATCTGCTGGATGACGGCACAGATATTCCCTTGGAAATTTTTGCCCCGTGTCTTCAGTATTTTGAGATTTCAGGAAATCTTGAAAATGTCGATTGTAGGCTTGTAGACGTGTCCTCCTTGGTTAATGCTAAGCTTACTTATCGAAGTTTTTGCTTCAATGCCCCCTGTACTGATCTTTCTGATGATGATGATCTTTCTGATGGTGATGTTGACGAAGACCGTTGTCATGGTTATCATCGATGCCTTAGGACCCTCGTCCCATATAATCTTCAAAAGTTGAGTTGTGCAGCTGAGCTAACAATCGGAACATGGTTCACAGAGGTTTGTATTTAACTCAAAAGTCCTTATTTTCTCTGATTGTTTTTTAGCCGTCAGTTGGAAGAAACATTATACGATTGAGAACCTTTGTACAAATGTCACAAACATAACTGGCTTAATTAGAGAAACTTGTGGCTTTTCTGCCTTTTTGCAATCCTTTTGTCAACTTTTCGAAGTCACGATTTCTTTTATCATATCGGCAAAAATATATCTAAAAACCAGACGTTTATACAGAGATGTTGCTTAAAGTGTTTGGATAGTTTAATTTGTTACAGCTCGATCTCTCTGTTGTGGAGTACTTTCTTTTGTTGTTATTGCTTTCTCCATCTTTTACTAGTTTCATTTTGGGATGTAAATCCTTTAACCCGCTAAATTTAACCCGCCCTGCCCTGCCCTGCCTTGCATTTCGTGTTTAGCATTTTCCAAAATTTTGCTTTGTCCTGCCACACCTTGCCCCATGTATGTTTTCTTTCATTTTTTATCTTTATTTTCACTTTGCTGTATTCTCTTTATATTTTTTTCCTTGGTAGTTTCCTTATTTGTTGTCTATTTGACCAAAAGTTGCTTTTTCTAGTTAGAGTTACGAACCTTTGTAAATCACTTTTGCTTTCTTCTTGTGACTTGTGACAGTGATAAATCTTAACAGACTAGATTATATTACTGAGGAACTTAATGCTCTAGAAGATTTTTGGGAAGAACAAACAAAACTTCTGGTCCGGACACTAGAGACTAGTCTGAAAAAGACAATATTTAATAATTCCAGATGTAAAATATCTTTATGAATCATCAAACTTCTGAAGCTCTGTATATTCAATTTTAATCGCTCAGAGAATCACAACTGGGTATGCCATATTTAGTTAATGACAAAGTCTGCTTAGCTGCGATAATCTCATGTTGCAGGTACTGTGCATGTTGCAGCTTGAAGAGGTGCCGATTCCAGAACTAAAATGTAAATATCTGACATTAGAGTTGCATATAAAAAAGTTCAATTTGTACGGAGCAGCTGGTATTTTGCAAGCCTCGCCTTATGTGGAGACACTCAACATAGACATCGCTACGGTTGTAACTTCTTGGAACTCTCTCTCTATTCACATCTATTCATTTTATGAGGTTTTAACAACCCCCCAACCCCAGCCTCTCTCTCCCAGGAAGTTGTTTCTGAATGAGAACTAAAATGTATCCTTAATTATCAGGAAGAAGTTTTGCTTATGTCACTATAAAGCTGCATGTTATTATGATTGGCCTTGTATTTTGTGGCGAGCTCTGCAACAAAAAGGATTATTTTCCTATCACTCTTTGCTTGAGTTACCTACCCCTTGAATCTTAATCTTAGGAACAACCGCCATAATCTACTGTGAAATCATTTTTTGTCACTTTTCTGCAATTTCCATTAGGCTAATTGACCTTCATTTGGTCCTGGTTTTATTCTACGTCTCCAGGTTGATACTCAACGGTGCCCTTTCGAATTAAAATATTTGACCGAAGGAGATAATATTGATTTGCAGAGTTGGTTTTCAAGACTTGAGTTTCCCAACCTCAAGAATGTTAAGCTTGTCAATAAGATTGACAACTCCGTCAGGGCATGTTTGAAGGATCATTCTGAACAGTGCTATGTCAAGCTTTTCAAACTCTCAGAATTTCTGTTACAGAATGCAACTGTTTTGGAGAAGTTCATTATCATATCAAAGACAAGAGAGTGCGGGAACTGTTTTACGAACTGTGTGCACCCATATTTTCTCCAGTTGGCTGAGAAATTGTTAGGTTCCCCAAGATCCTCCACGATCTGTAGTTATCTTCCAGGAGTGAGCTTTCTGTGACCAGACGGAAGTTCTCTGTCCCAGGATACTAGAAACTTAATCTATGTTACTAATTGCTAATCTTTTGGACTTACCTTGTGGCATAACATATGTTATGGTATTTTGGTTTCTCATGGAGCATTTGTATGTTGCATTTTTAGATGTTGTACATGCGTATTGAGAGTTTCTTACGACTTGTTTTCCTGGACCTGTTAAGAAAAGCAGTTCTAAATGGCACATTACTCATGATAATTAGCCTCATTAAATGTTGTGTTTTGCTAACTTGCATTGGCAATAGCATCAAGGTCTTTGATTATGAATTAGTTCCATTTGTGGTTTTTTTTTCTTGGAAGAAAGTCACCATTGTTTGCCTACCTCAAATAATCTTTAGCAGTTGGATTTGAGGCTTACAATGCTGTTGAATCTTTTTATTGAAATCTCCATTTCTCATTTTGATTTTAGTTGGCTGCGACAGCTTATACAGGGTTGTGAAAAATTGTGGAAAAATTACTCTCTTGAGAAATGGTTTGGTTTCTGTTTTCCCTTTGTTTTAATAGAACTGCCAGTTCTAAGTTTGGTTGACCAGGATATTTAGTGAGCTTTGCAAAAGTGCCCGGTGGTATTGAAATCAAAGTATATTTCTATGCGATGGGTTTAGTATGTACTGCAACATTATTTTCAAGTTATCTGGTCAACAAGATATGTCCATCAATTGATTCTTTGTCTTAATTTCTTTGACGGAATTAATAAAGGATTGATCCATTCCAATGAGCAATTATCCAAGGACAGTCACATTCTCCAAGTAATCTGAATATTTAGTTGGAGGCTAAAGGGAATTTAACGATAAATTGAAGCAAATAAAAAATTAAGAGATGGCACGAATTATATATGATGGTTGTATAATACTGGACAGTGTGCTTGGTTTATTATTTCATGTTGATATAAATATTTACTTGCATGTGTTTGCATAAACTAAATGAATACAAAACATTTTTTTTTCTTGGTTATCCAACCAGATGTTCCGTATCCGCATTGGAACTCGACTATATCTGGATTTGCGCCGGGTAGGGCCCCATCTAGGGGGAAGCGTTCCCAACCAAGGATTTTTCTATATTCAGGGCTCGAACTCGAGACCTCTAGTTAAGGGAGGAGTAGTCCCATCCGCTGCACCACATCCTTTGGTGGTTAACATATTTCTTTAAATACACTGTTATCACTAAATTACTATAATAATTAATTCATATACATTCTTATCTCAATTTATAATTGATTAGTAATAAATTAATATGATTTGATATAAATATTAAGAAGTAAACTATTAGGGTTGTAATAGCGTTCGATGCTGAAGGAGGACGAATACGTGGATTCATAGAGAGAACAAAACCCAAGCAAATGCTCCCTTAGAAGAAGATTACGTCCCAGTTATTAGGATATGTTTGGATATAGATTCTTAAATAGTTTTTGAAAAAGTTAATATAGGTGAAGTTTGATTTGAATTCGAAAATGTATTTGTACATAAATTTTGGGACAAGTTTTAACATGTTAATTTCTTTTTGTTTTTTCAGACAAAAAATAAATTGTCACGATTAGCCAAAAAGTGGTCCTAAACTATATTATGAATTTGAAGTTTTGATTTTTAAAATATTCCAAAAAGTATATTATATTAATAAACAAACACATATTTGAATTATCTTTTTTTTTAAAGAATTTTTTTTTAAAACTTATGGCCAAACTCATAAACCAGTACAGCTTATTTAATTGAAAGGTCAAATGCTTTAAGCTGGATAGCTTAGGGACTAACATTAGAACAAAACAATAAACGAGGGACCAGAACCGCTACTTTTCGAACCTTTTTGTTTCTTTTCCGGCGTCAAGTCTAGTGCCCAAGCTGGAATTTGGAAAGAAAAACAAATTAAATTAAACCAAAATACATTTGGACCCAAAATCATGGCTTCTTCCGGCGACTGCACCAAAAATGACGGCTCTAGAAGGAGCAGTAGTAATTTGATAAACCCTCCATCTTCGAAGAAACGAAAAGTGAGAATCAATGGAGCTGAAGAAACCCTAGACCTACTCAGTGAGTTGCCGGAGTCGCTCCTAATTCAAATTCTCTCTCTTCTGCCGACAAAAGATGCATTCACAACATGCATTCTCTCCAAAAGGTGGCAGTATCTCTGGACTTCAGTTTATAACTTTAAATTCACTCGTAGAAGTTTCCGGAAACCAAAACACTTCATATCCTTTGTTGACTATGTACTAGCTCATTCCGTTTGTTCCAAAATTAAAAGATTTGAAATTGACTGTACTTACCTGTTTCGTTACAATTACAATTCACATATCTGTCGATGGCTTAGTTTTGCTGTTGAAAGAAAACTGGAAAATGTTGTAGTCCGGTCAAATTCTGAAACTAGCGCTTTCAAATTGCCTGAATCTTTCTGCACCTGCTCATCGTTGATAACTTTAGATTTGACGTCTTGTTGCTTTGATGCTGACGTGGTCATAGCGTGGAAGTCTGTAAAGAGCATAAGGTTTGACGCTTTTGTGTTATTCGATAAAGATATACTGAACGTACTCTCGGGGTGTCCTGCATTAGAAACTTTGGAATTGGATATTGTGGAGGGTCTTCGACGCCTGGAAATTAGGTCTTCAAAATTAAAGAGACTGAAGCTGCAAGATTATTGGTTGTCTAATGATGGAGGTGATCATACCTTGGAAATTTTTGCCCCGTATCTTCAACATTTGGAAATTTCAGGAGATCTTGATGATCTCAAGTGTAGACTTATAGATGTGTCTTCCGTGGTTAATGCTAAGCTTACGTTTAACATTAGGTGTATCAAAGACATTCGGGATGATCATGGTGAAGAATTTGATGATGCGGAAGACAGTTGTCGTGAGTATCATCAAGTTTTTAGGACCCTCGTCCAATATTATCTTCAGAAGTTCAGTTGTGCAACTGAGCTAACAATAGGAACATGGTTCACAAAGGTTTGTTTTTAACTTAAAGGTCCTTGATGTAGCTTGAAGTGTATAGATGATTAGATTTGTCACAGCTCTCTGCTGTGGAGTAACATCTTTTTTTTGTTATTATTGATTTCTCCTTTATTTACTAGTTTCATTGGGATTATTGCACCAGGTCCTGTGCATGTTGCAGTACGAAGGAGTGCAGATTCCTGAATTGAAATGCAAATATCTAACACTAGAGTTGCATATGGATAAGTTTAATTTGTATGGAGTAGCTGGCCTTTTGCGAGCATTACCTCATGTGGAGACACTCGTCATAGACATAGAATCTATGCGTGTAAGTTGTTACTTCCTGGAACTCTCTCTCTTCTTTCTACAGCTGTTCATTTTATGAAGTTTTACCAATCCACACCCCCTTCTGGGAAGTTATGGAAGACTGCATAAATATCTTTGAATTTCAGTACTAGGCTTTGCTTATATCACCGTAAAGCTTCACATTAACCTGGTTGGTGATGTTGCTTTCTTTGTGGCAAATGAACTCTGAAATGAAAAAGGATTTTGTGCCATCACTCTTTGCTTGGTTTACCTACGCCGTGAATCTTTAAGATAGGAACAGCCATCATAATCAATTAATCATTTTACAAGTACCATTAAGATTTGTCGGTTCTGAAACTTTTCTGTACCAGACACTTCTACTGTGAAATCATTTTTTGTCATGTTTGTGCAATTTCTATTAGGCTGACCTTCATTTAGTCCTGATTATATTCTCTGTCTCCAGTTTGATTATTCCCGATGCCACTTTGAGTCGAGAGATCTGGCCAAAGGAAATAAAATTGATTTGCAGAGTTTGAGTTCAAGCTTTGTGTTGCCTAACCTCAAGAATGTTATGATTGTTAACCCCAGCGGGGTCTGTTTGAAGGATCAGTTCAAATCACGCTATGTCAAAAAGCTTTCAAAACTTTCAGAATTTCTGTTGACGAATGCATCGGTTTTGGAGAAGTTCGTTATTATATCAAAGAAAAGAAGGTGCCAGACATGTTCGATGAACTGTGTATCCCAATATTTGTTTGGATTCGCTGAGAAATTGTTAGGTTGTCCAAAATCCTCCACCAATTCCGTGATTATCTTCCAGGAGTGAGCTTTCCATGACTTGATTGGAAGTAGTTTCCTGTCTCAGGATATGAGAAATGTCGCCTTACATTGAGTTTTTGATAAGCTGCTCATGCAATCATGATTCTTTGACTTATCTATGTAAGTTTGTAACTAATTACTTTTTACTATTGCAATCACCCTTGTGGCATACCAAATGTTATGGTTTCTTGATTTATGATAAATCATTTCTTTGTCGCATAGATTTTGCACATGTGCATTGGGATTTTCTTGCAAGTCTTGTCTTCCTGGATCTATTAAGATGAGCAGATTTACAAGTCACTTTTTATGATAATTAGCCACGTGAAATGTGTTTTGCTAGCTTGCTTTGTCAATAGCATCAAGGTCTAATGATTGTGAATTGGTTCCCTTTTTGGCTTTCTTTTCTTGGAAGAAAGAGGTCGACATTGTTTACCTTAAATAATTTTTAGCACTAGTGTTTGATGCTTAGTTGTTGAATCTTTGTGCTTAAAACTAAGGTCGTATGATTAGATCTATCTGTATGATTCGATGAATAACATTTTTCAGGCAGATTTCAGCTGGCTGGGATAGCTTACAAGGGGTTAGTGAAATGTTTGTGATAAAAAGTTTATTTTCTGTTTTTCCTTTGTCAACAGGTGTTGCCCTCGCTGCTCTGCCTCTTCCACGACCACGTCCACAGCCTCTGGTGGCCTCAGCTGGTGGCACTGGTGGTCGTCCACCTCGTTCGGTAGCTCGTGTCTTCACCATCTGTCGGAGAATAGAATAACAGAAGCTTAGTACTCGGACCAACAAGTTCGCACGATAAAAATTTCAAGAATATGAAGTTTTTTCCTAAAGGTTCTGCAGTCTCGCGAGGATAAATACAGACGTCTCCGTGCCGATCCGCGAGACTCTACTAAACCTGCTCATGACTCGCGAGACCTAAGTAACCTACGCTCTGATACCAACTTGTCACGACCCTAACCCCGAACCCGGTCGTGATGGCGCCTCTCGTGAAGACAAGGCCAGCCAATAAATAATTTTCTCAGTTTTAAACAATTAAATAGCATAATAATGATCTAAGCATAATTAAATAACACGAAATAGCGGAAAAACCTGCCCAACACAGCCCAAATCGGGGTGTCACAAGTCATGAACAACTACGAATCCTGATACAAGTCTACTAAGCACAATATCTGATATAACTGTTTGAAGAAACAAAGAAATAATAAGATAAGGGAGGCACGAGGGCTGCGGACGCAAACAACTTCCTCGTAGTCTCTGAAACACCGCTTGAACTGGAGGAATCAACACTCCAGAGCGGGACCAACAACGCCTAAATTTGCACACACGGTGCAGGGAGTAATGTGAGTACTCCGACCCAGTGAGTAACAAGTATAAATAATGACTGAAGATAAGAAATCACATAAGGCACAAAGTATTCTATAATGAAGCAGTAAAACATCGTTTGAAAACATTAAAACAGTAAAAAAATCCAGCAAAAACTCCTTTCAACAGGTAAAAACAGGTAAATAATGTAAGGTAACAGACAGAAGTTTGCCCCTCGGGCTCAGTATCCACAAATCCGCCCCTCGGGCCATAGCTCAGTACAGTGCCAGCCCCTCGGACTCAATCTCATATCACAAATGGGTGCCCGCGCTCACTGGGGGTGTACAGACTCCTAAAGGGGCCCCTTACGGCCCAAGCGCAATCACAAGCGATCTCGTGGCATCAAATCTAGGCCCTCGACCTCATATCAATCAAGCCACCTCGTGGCGCACATATCTCAGGCTTTCGGCCTCCAATCAGTACTAGTTTCTCCTCACAATCTAGGCCCTCAGCCTTACTCAGTCAAAAATTATCACAAGTCCCTCGGGCAATAGTAAAACAATGTTTCTCGGCCCAAACATCATTTAAAAATATCATTTAAGCCTCAAAACATGAGTAAAAATGGCTGAGTAGTAAAACAGTGGAAATTAGCATGACCGAGTCCAAATAGTAAGTTAAAATAGTGAGGAATATCAAATAAAAGCCCCGAAGGGTCCAAATAGTTGGCATTCAGCCCAAATATGGCATTCAGCCCAATAAACAGTGATAACAAATGGTTTTCAGTCAAATACGCGGTAAAATCATCAATCGGGACGGACCAAGTCCAAATCCCTATTAGTCACGACCCTACGCTCGTCATCGAGCGTGTGCCACACCTCAATATAGTACTACGATGTACAATCCGGGGCTTCAAACCCTCAGAACATCATTTACAAGCATTACTCACCTCGAACCGGCTAAATCCCTAGCTCGCGACGCCTTTGCCCTTCTAATTGGCCTCTACGCGCGTCGAATCTATCCAAAATCATAACGAATACGTCACAATATGCTAAGGGAACAAAACCCAAGCGAAGACAATCGAAAAATGCCAAAAATCTCGAAATTAGCAAAACCCGAGCCTCGGGCACACATCTCGAAACTCAGAAATTTTTACACCAATAGGTTACTTATCTCCCCACGAGTTCATACATACCAAAAATATCAAAATCCGTCCACAATTGACCCTTCAAATCCCAAATCAGAAGTCCAAAGTCCAAGCCCTAGTTCTTCCATTTTTAGCTTAAGTTTCCATGAATTTCTAGGTGGATTTCACAATAGAATCGAGTTTTTAGGTCCGAGATTCTTACCTCCAAACGTTTCTCCTTGAATCCCTCTTTAATCTCCTTCAAAAAGCTCCCAAAATGACCAACTATGGAGGAAATGAGCCTCAAAATCGCGGATGAAACGACTTAAAAACAATTTGCCCAGGTCTGACTGCCCTTCTTCGCGAACGCGGTCAAACCCTCGCATTCGCGAAGTACAAACTTACGTTGACCACTATTTCCTCTACGCGAACACGACACGACCAACACGAACGCGATGCCTTGCTCAGACCACTCTTCGCGAACGCGCTCACCCTTCCGCGAACGCGATGAACACTTGACCTTAAACCGCAGCTGACCCAATTCCTCTACGCGAACGCGAGGTCCATCTCGCGAACGCGATGACCAACTACCCAACCCCTCCGCGAACGCGAAGCCCCTCTCGCGAATGCGAAGGCTTAAATTCAGGCATTCCTCAAATCCTTCTACGCGAACGCGAAGGTATAAATTTCTGCAACAGCTGAGCAGATTTTTCTACAATTCTCTGAACTTCAAAATGACCCGTTCAACCTTCCGAAACTCACCCGAGGCCCCCGGGACCTCAACCAAGGACACAAACATATCCCAATACCTTATTCGAACTAGTTCCAATCATCAAAACACTTCAAACAACATCAAATCACCCAAAATTCATCGGATTCAAGCCTAAGTTTTCTAAAATCTTACGAAATACGCTTTCGATCAAAAACCCAACCAAACCACGTCCGAATGACCTGAAATTTTACACACACATCCCAAATGACACAACGAAGCTACTGCAACTCTCGGAATTCCATTCCGACCCCCGGATCAAAATCTCACCTACCAACCGGAAATCGCCAAAATATCAACTTCGCCAATTCAAGCCTAATTCTACTCAGGACCTCCAAAACCCATTCTGATCACACTCCTAAGTCACAAATCACCTCCTGAAGCTACCCGAACCATCGGAACTCACATCCGAGCCCTCTAACACATAAGTCAACATCCGGTTGACTTTTCCGACTTAAGTTTTCTTAAAAGAGACTAAGTGTCTCAAACTCACCAAAACAAATCCGGATTCAATCCGACCAACCCGATACCTCAAAACACAGATGAACAAAGCAAATAGGAGAAGAAATGGGAAAACGAAGCGGTAACTCATTAGACGACCGGCCGAGTCGTCACATCCTCCCCAACTTAAATAAACGTTCGTCCTCGAACGAGTCAAGAAACATACCTGAAGCCTCAAACAGGTGAGGATATCTGCTCCACATCTTCTGCTCGGTCTCCCAGGTGGCCTCCTCCACGGGCCGACCTCTCCACTGCACATTTACTGAAGCTTTATCCTTTGATCTCAATTTCCGAACCTGGCGCTCCAAAATAGCTGCTGGCTCCACATCGTAAGTCAAATCACCCTCCAACTGAACCGTGCTGAAATCCAGGACATGGGACGGATCTCCAATATACTTCCGGAGCATAGAAACATGGAAAACTGGATGCACACTCGACAAGCTGGGTGGCAAAGCAAGCTCATAAGCCACCTCCCCAATCCTCCGAAGTACCTCAAAAGGCCCAATGAACCGCGGACTCAACTTCCCTTTCTTTCTGAATCTCATAACACCCTTCGTGGGCGAAACCTTCAACGGGACCTTCTCACCAACCATGTAAGACACTTCTCGAACCTTCTTGTCAGCATAACTCTTTTGCCTCGACTGCGCCGTATGAAGTCTCTCCTAAATTACCTTCACTTTATCTAAGGCATCCTGAACCAAATCTGTCCCCAAAAGCCTAGCCTCGTCGGGCTCGAACTAACCAACTGGAGATCTACACCGCCTCCCGTACAAAGCCTCATATGGAGCCATCTGGATACTTGATTGGTAGCTGTTGTTATAAGCAAACTCTGCAAGTGGTAGAAACTGATTCCATGACCTTCCGAAATCAATAACACAAGCGCGTAGCATATCCTCCAATATCTGAATGGTGCGCTCGGACTGCCCGTCCGTCTGAGGGTGAAAAGCCGTGCTTAACTATACCTGAGTACCCAACTCTCGCTGAATAGACTTCCAAAACTGGGAAGTAAACTGAGTGCCCCGATTTGAAATGATGAAAACTGGGACACCATGCAACCGAACAATCTCCCGAATATATATCTCTGCCATCCGCTCTGAAGAATAAGTAGTACAAGTAGGAATGAAGTGCGCGGACTTGGTCAGCCTATCCACAATCACCCATATAGCATCGAACTTCTTCAAGGTACGAGGGAGTCCAACTACAAAATCCATAGTGATCCGCTCCCACTTCCACTCAGGAATATCCATCCTCTGAAGCAAGCCACCCGGTCTCTGATGCTCATATTTCACCGGCTGACAATTGAGGCACCGAGCTACAAAACTCACAATATCTTTCTTCATTCTCCGCCACCAGTAATGCTGTCTAAGATCCTGATGCATCTTCGCTGCTCCTGGATGAATATAATACTGCGAGCTATGGGCCTCCTCCAGGATCAACTCCCGAAGCCCATCTACATTGGGCAGACAAATCCGGCCCTGCATCCTCAATACTCCATCATCTCCAATAGACACATCCCTCGC